TAGATGGGTGGGGGGGAGAATCTATTTCAATAGCTTAGCCACAAAATAATATGTGCATTAATATAATTTCAGAGTGATAAAAACACTTACTGACCATTTGTGTGTGTAGTTATATCTAATTTGACAACATAATGACAACATAACACCTAAAATGACTGTAAAATGATGATTTAAAACTTTAGAGCTCAAATAATACATTAGTTAATAATAAAATAGTTTTAACAGTGGAATTAATATAAATGTTTTTATGAAATTATAAGCTTTACATTTCTGCCTTTAAAGCCCCCCAAAATTGGCCCCATCCATTTTTTTCATAAGTGCCTCACTGTAACCAGTGATTATTTGAAATCAACTGTAGTTGTACCTGGTATATTCCTCTAACTGGAACCTTATAACATGAGCATAAGAGGAATAGCATAAGTTATGTTTCTGATTGTTAAAGTCAGCATGAAACAGAAATTTTGAACATTTTTCTTCCCTATCGTGACATATATCCAAGTGAAACATTTCTCAAACAAGAAAAAAAATGTAGGGCAGGACTTGATTTGTCCATCAGGAATTAAGCATTTTCCTTTACTAACTGCTGTGATCATATGTGACCCTGGACCACAAAACCAGTCTTAAGTCGCTGGGGTATATTTGTAGCAATAGCCCTCAATACATTGTATGGGTCAAAATTATAGATTTTTCTTTTATGCCAAAATTTATTAGGATATTACGTAAAGATCATGTTCCATGAAGATATTTAGTAAATTTCCTACCATAAATATATCAAAACTTAATTTTTATTAGTAATATGCATTGCCAAGGACTTAATTTGGACAACTTTAAAGGCAATTTTCTCAATATTTAGATTTTCTTTTTTTTTTGCACCCTCAGATTCCAGATTTTCAAATAGTTCTATCTCAGCCAAATATTGTCCTAACAAACCATACATCAATGGAAAGCTTATTTATTCAGATTTCAGATGATGTATAAATCTCAATTTAAAAAAATTGACCCTTATGACTGGTTTTGTGGTCCAGGGTCACATATGTGAACGACAGGTTGCTAAAGGGATTATTGTCCCACCCTCTCGCCAGTGCACACATCATCAGAGAAGAGATGCCGTTGCAAAGGGAGGGGATGTTAATGTTTTTGATTAAAGATTTAAAGGCACATGAATTAAAAACAACAAAAAAGTTGTGCACAGATAAATCATTTATAATTCAAACTGCAATATTCCATAAAACAAAAATTTCAATTTGAATTTCATGGTGACTTTTAGTGTTTTAATTACTCTTTTGTGCAGATAGCACTATACTCAAAGTGCTGTACAGTGTGCATAAGCAGTCTATGTGTGTGTTTAATTAAACCAGAATGAGAAATGGTACACACTAAAAAATGCTGGGTTGTTTCAACCCAACTTTGGGTCAAATATGGACTAACCCAACTTTTGGGTTAAAAATTGAATGTAAAAATTTAACCCAACGGTTGGGTTAGTCCATATTTGACCCAAAGTTGGGTTGAAACAACCCAGCATTTTTTAGAGTGTAGCCTACCAGACCAGTTGGGCAGTGAAAATAAAACATCTTGGTCATGGGCTCCTGTCGTGTTCTCATTCCGGTCAGCTTTTCTGGCACCCACACACCTCTTTGGATATGCATACACACACCCCGACTGAGTTCACGTAGCTAGGAGCCCTAATACTCGAGCTTTAGCACATTTTTCACAGCAGACAGATACAGACAGACTTCAGGGCCCTGGGCTCTGTAGAGATTAACACAGCATTGAGATGAGCTGCCCCCAGCCGAATCGTGATAAAGTGCGTTTGAAGAATCCATGCCAATTGACCAGTGCCAAACACATCTAGCGTTCACTTCCCAACCGACTTCAAACATATCTGGCGTCAGAGTAAAATGCCTCCTGTTGTCTCAGCGGGAGTTTTGATGACTTCATATCAGGGTTACTATAGTAAAGAGATTTTGTTACTTGAAATAAAATAAACGCTAACTGAAACACACACATGTATGCAGAGCTGGTTAGATTACTTACAAACTGTAATCCATAACTGATTCCAAATTCCACAAAAAAATTGTAGTTAGTAATCTAATCCATTATATTACACATTTTAGGTAATATAATCAGACTACTTTTGGATTACTTTTAGATTGTTTTTGACCTAACTTGTTTATCACATTGATTTAAATAGGATAATCTTGTACCATACAGATACAAAAGTACAAAGAGAAAGTAAATATATTCCATTCATTATTAATAACATGAAATGCATTAAACATTACATTATGTCAAGGTTTCCCAAACTTGGGTTTGTGAAGGAACTGCAGGGGGTTTGTGAGTTTAATGAAAAGCTAATAATTAATTAAATCATAAATATGTAAAAATTAAAATCATTTTAAAATTACTAAAAAAAATTAATATTTCATTTGTTTACCTTCATGTCATGTGTAGGCTATTTTAGAAAGGAACCTTTAAAAGATTAAAAAAAGGAATTAGGCAAAATTATTACATTATGTGACTAATATGTAATCATGTAATCAATTAAAAGTAACTGTAGTCTGATTAGAAGTAGCCTATTTTAAAATATAATCTAATGATTAGATATTTAGTAATTAGATATTATAAAAACTAAAACGAAAATAACATGACTAAAATCTATCACACATCTCACATCTAAAAACACAAAGTCACTACAAATTGAACTAAAATTAAATAAAAAGATATATAAAAAACTAATTCAAAACGAAATAAAACTGTAATAGCATCTCAATTATACTGACACTGCTTCATGTACATTATTAATTTATGGGAAACGCGAATACTCAGGCTAGTCCAAATAAATAATAAAATAGTCTGCCAAAACATAAAAACATTGTTTTGTGGTGTTACCCTGTGTAAAAATGAATAAACACTGTAATGTAAAGTATGTCCACTTTTCTAAAGTATTTATAGTCGACATAACTATGAATTTTTATACTTATTTTGACTGAAAGTTGAATATAAAATGTGAAGGCTCAAAACAATCGGAGCAACTATTTAGGTTTACAAACTGTTGATCTATAACTGAAGCAACATCGACAGGGACATTTTTGCAACATTTTCAATATAATAAACATAGAAAGAGCACTGTTGACAGCACAAATATTTACCTGCAAAGTGACTCCTGATACTCGTCGCAAACATATCCCATACATCATTGCAGTCAAATAATGCCAGGATGTTTGTAGGCCAAATTTAGTAACAATGGCGCCATCTAGTGCACAGAACGGCACTTCACCATCAAACATTTCATTGTACGTAGCCAAATTTTACAGAAAATTAACTAAATGTGGTTACATAATTTTTATTTCAAAACAATTTATGAAATTGGCAAAATGACATTTACATCATAAACATTAAATGGTAAAAGGACAAATAAACCCTCTTCCATACAGTTAAACTTGACAGAGTACAAAATAGTTTGTCCTATGCAACTATCCTTAAAAGATCTTTAGCTATCCATCAAATACTGTTATTTGTCGTAAAGTATACTGCCATGATTATATTCAATATGAAGACAATGTCTCGATGTTTGAGACTTCCAGTAATTCTAATGTTAAAAGACACCGCAAAATCGTTCCCATCATAGAGTCCATTGACCATAAGCATGCGTTTGCAATACAATATAGCATATCACTCAAAAAGGCTGCATACCAAACACTAATTGCTCTACAAAAAAAAAAAAGTCACATCATGTAATCAGACTTGCTCAGGAGAGCCAGAGCACACAAGTCACCCACAGAGAGCCCATATGCCACCTTACACAAACCATTTAAATGTTAGATACTCTTAACTGCAGAAAATAGCTTCCAGTTTTGCTAGTTACGTTAAGCATCTTCTGTACAGACTTTAGAGTAGTAGTTTTAGAAATAATAGCAATACTAAATAGGTTTAGGTTTGACAGTAGTGTACTGTTGATAAAGTGATCCATAATATGAAACCTTAATACAGCATGAAAAGCAAATCTATTATTGTTACTGACCTCAAGTCTTCGAAAGGGTTTATAGAGACGATATGCAGTTCATTTAAAATACCTGCATGCTTATTTAATTAACGGCAAATAAGACCGTTGTAGTGGAACGTTGCACTCTTTTTCATACTCAACACGAGTAAGAGAAAGACTGTGGAATCTGTCACAGAACATGCATGATTGTCTGTTTGTACAGTTCTGAAGGTTTGATGTGGGAAGTGGAATTGTAAAAGGAAATTAAAAAACTCATAAGACAGAAGCACTGATGGAACTGGACAGACAAACAGAATTTCCCCACAGAAGGCATTTGCACTTGTCCATTAGCAGTCCATTGACGGAGAGGGATGCGGTGTGGGAGCTACTGCAGCTGTGGTGAGGGTTTTGTTCTGCTTTCACAGAAGGCAGATTGTTGACAAGACGGCACCCATGAAGCCATTTACACTTCACTTA